TCAATCTTTTTTATTTGCTTCAATTTTTCTACCTAATTTCATTTATTTGATTTTTTATTTTCATTTAACAAAAATATTATTTTATTTATTTCTTTCACATTAAAAGTTATAATTTGGATTTATAAAGTTGATTCGTTTATTTTATTTATTTAAAAATAAACAATAATACTATCAAGTAGCTTTGAACATCCTTAAGCAGTTCTAAATTATAAGTACATATGTTAATTTTCTTTCTTTCCTTACAAAGCTTTTAGAATAACAATAATAATAATAATAATAAAAAAGGCCTAGGCAAATTGTGGTTTGATAACAGTCTAGCTACTGACAAATGTAAGGTTTTGTAATTAAAGTGAACAAAAAAGGGTTTGCAATGAAAAAAAAAAAGTTAAAGGGCTTAAAATTTTGTAAATAATAAAATACTAGCTATTAATTCAGACCAAAAAATATCGGAACACATAGCATTTCCATTTATGAAATTAAAGGGACAAAGGTATTATGCTGATCAATCTTCAATTTCGTTGAATTTTGTTTCAATTTATTGTACAAATTAATGAACATTTAGTATTTATATTAAGTGAAATATTTCAGATTTGTTATTTTTATATAAAATAATGAAATTAAAAGTTTAATGACAAAATTTATCGTAATATCTAGTAAAATATTTCAGTTCTTTTTTTTTTTTCACAAATCAATAAAATATCAAATGCAACAATAAAATTGATATTGAAATATGATAATAGAAAGGGTTAAATATATATTTGATCCTTGAATTTTATAATTTTTGTTATATTTGTATCTAAAATTTCTTTTTTATCATATTAGTATATGAACTTTCAAATTATTGTCAGATTAGTACCTTTGAATAATGCTGCTAGTCAATTTTGTTGACATAGCATAAAAATCTAATAAATTACTAACATGTCAAAAAGTCTTGTTAATGCTATATCATCGATACCATGTCATGCCCATCTCATTTTAAAAAGAAAAATTTAGAAAAGATATTAAAAGATCTAAAAATTTTTAAAATTTTTAAAAATTATAAGAATTAAAAAAAATTCTCAATAAAATTTTAAAAATTTTCAAAAACTTCAAAATGAAATTTAAAATTTATAAAAAATATTAATTTCAAAAAATTATAAAAAATAGTAAATTTTTTCTTAAAATTTTGGAACAAAATCTTTTTAATATGCAAATTTTTTAAAATTTCTCAAAAATTAAAAAAATTCTAAAAGTTTTTGAAAAATTATAAAAAATTTTAAAATTTATAAAGAATTAAAAATATGAAGTAGTTTTATAAACTATAAATTTATCATAATTTGGAAAATTTTAAAAATTCTGAAAATTTTTTACAAAAGAATTTCAAAAAGATTAAAATTTATAAAAATTAAATTTTCTTAAAGTTAAAAAAAATTAAAAAATTGAGAATAAGAAAACATATAAAAAATTTGGAAAATTTTTGAAAAATTAAATAATTTCAAATTTTCAAAACATTCTTTAAAATTAAAAAATCTAAAAAATATAAAATAAAATAAAAAATTTTCAAAAAAATTAAATATAAAAAATTATATAAAAAATTGTAACATAAGATTAAAAAATATGAAATTTTTTTTAATTTTTTAAAACATTTTAATTTTTTTAAAAATTATTTGTTGTCAAAAGATTTTTTATTTTTATTTTAGTTTTTTTTAATTTAAAAGAATTTTTAGATTTCATTAAAAACATCATTTTTTGTATTTTTTTATCTTTTAAATTTTTTTTATATTTTTTTTCAAAAATTTTAAGTTTCCTTAATTCTTTTTGAATTTTTTAAAATTTTCTAGAAGTTCGTAGAGTTTTTAGAAATTTTTTAATTTTTGAAAAATTTTTAAAATTTTTAAAAGTTATTAGAATATTTTAAAGTTTTTCAGAATTTTAATTTTTTTAATTTCTAAAAATTAATTATTTTACTATTTTTATAATTTTTGAAAAATTGTTAGAATTTTTAAAACTTTTTCATATTTTTTTAGATTTTTTTGGAATTTTTTTCTAATTTTTAAATGTTTTTAAATTTATTTGAATTTTTTAAATTTTTATTTGAATTTTTTAATTTTTTTAAAGTTTTCAAAATTTTTTTGAAAAATTATTTTAGAATTTTTAGAAATTTCAAAAAATTTTAAGAATTTTTTAGAATTTCTTAAATTTTTTTATGTTTTAGATTTTTTTTTTGAACTTTTGAAAATTTTTTGAATTTTTTCTAATTTAAAAAAAAAATTGAGATTTTTTTCTAAAGATTGCATGGGCTTAACATGACAATGATGATGTGGCATTGATTGGATTTTTTTTATATTTGTCAATATCTTATTGGATATTCATATTATGTCAGTAAAGTTAACTAATAACATTAGCCATAGGCACAAATGTGATAATAATTTGAAAGTTAAAGTACCAATATATTAGAAAAATTCTTAGATATTAATGTGACCAAAATTACAAAAGTTTAAGGGCTAAATATATATTTAACCCTAATGTATAATGATAAATTTCACCTGAATTCTTAATTAAATGAACGCACAAATAATGAAGTTTAAGTGTTTGTATATGTTGGGCTTGGTTTCTTCCATGTGGAGGTGACTTAAAACTAAAACCCATTCATTAATTTTTTTTAATCCTTTCACGTTTGGTTATAGGATTTTAAGCCTTTATAAGGCTAAAAAAGAAACAAGAGAAATGTAGAGGCAATAGTGAAAAAAAGGGGAGAAAAGGGGTTTTATGTAGTTTCGGTAAAGTAGTTTGATTGAATTAAAATTTTATCAGTATGTTCATAATTTATCGTTTTTTAGTCTAAATGGTAGAGATTGGGTTTCTAGTGTTCTATCTATTGATTTCGTAGATATTTGTTAATTTTTAAATTTATTGAGACTTCTGTAATTTTTTCTTACAAGATTGTTTTTTTACCAAGATTATTTAATCTTGAGATATTGTGGTTATATACCCTAATTTTAGCTAAAAAGAATTTTGTATTTTCATTATTTTGATAGTGAAGATTATTTATTATTATCCGTGATTTTTACTCCACATTTTTTATAAGAATTTCACGTAAATTGCATGTGTCTTTGTGCTTGTGATTTGAAGACTTATTTGTTAGTTCTATTTGTTTGATTTCCGCTGAATTCACACAAAAGAGGAATAATTTAATTTTTTCGTTGCATGACATGGTCAGTGAATATTGTTTAAAGTTATTTTATCTCATCAGTATAGACTAGTATTCATGGTCGAATCTATAGTATGTGGATATTTGTTTAAATTTAATAATTTGAAAGCCTACAGTTTAATATTGATGACAACAGGCTTCGTCGGATTCTTTTCTAGTTTCCCTGAAAATCGAGTGATTTCACGGCGTACTTTCCCTCTTGCCATACTCAACACCGGTTCTTCGCCATCATCGGAGTCTTTAACAATTCATAAAGACGTTACCTTATCCGTGACCAAGTTTAGTAAAAGGTTAGTAACTAGCTACATTAATAATGCTTGTAAGCTGGAACATAATTTTTCATATACGAATGGAAAAATCATATGAAGGTAAGCTTAGATCTTAATTAGAATATAAGACAATTACTAAACGTGAAACCTTAGTTGTCAAGTAGAAAATTATCAATGATCTAGTAGGGAAGTGGTAGCAATGATGAGAAACTGTTCGACATTGTGACAAAAATTCTTTTAATGTTGTCTAAATCTAAGCCAAGAAGTTAAATTATTTGTTATACGTTACAAAATTTAGTTTCCCAAATCTAAATTAATTTTGGAAAATGATGATATGGTTTCTGTCGTAATCAATCTATATGGAGCAGTAGATTTTTCCACCTTTCTCCATAGAATGTTCAAAGAAGATCAGTAGATCCTTTCACATTGCTGTTAGCTTGTATAGAAAACATACAACCACAACCATGGAAGAAGAAATAGAACTTACTAAACACGGTAAAAGAAGGGAGTTTCCTCCTGCTGATACCCTTCCTGATAAATAAAATTTCAGTTCTTTTGACATTCTTTGAGGAATCTAAGTTTGACAAATTGGATTGTCTAACTCCATACGATTCCTGTTTTTTGTTTTGTATATCTCCAAAATTTTCCTTAACTGCAAATTGACATTTATTTTTAGCACTTCTTCTTAAAGTTGTTTAGGATCTTTTCCCTAATTATAAAGTTCATCCAAGAAAATGTTTAGATATTATCTTCAAAATTCAGCCGTCGGTGTCACTGTCAAGCATATAGTAAATATAGAAATTTTGTTACATGTAGCATTCGAAATATTACACATTTTTTTGCTCTTGGCTTGGCATATCCCATTTTATTTCCCGACTTCCACCTTCTTCATCTTACCTACTTATCAAAAGTATTTTGAATTTTACTTGTCTAATATATATTAATTAGGTGTTAGGCCAAAAAATCAGTATGGTGACATGCAGCAGAGGTTCAAATTTTAACATTTGCAATTCTTTTCCCTATTCTCGATCATTGTTAAAAAAACTATAATTAAATATACATTAATTTATGCGAAAGAATATATAATTTCATATGTTATTTAGCTTTAAATTTATATATGTTGCCCATGATTCATATATACACATACTTTTCTTGCTCTTTAGTTTGAACTTTTGATTCAATGTGTAAGGGAATTTTTTTACTACTTGAGAAATGAATTTGGCAGCATTTTTTTTCTTGGTGAAAAGAAATGGTTTGAATTGTATTGGATGAACAAATCATCATTGTTATTTAGATTTTCAAGTGAATGTACAGAATATAACTGTTCCCTATGCTTAGTGATGAAATTAATAAGTGATTATATATAGACAAAAGATTTGGTCATATATATAACACCAAGAGGGAAATTTTGGATTCATTGTCAAAATATTTTGAAAACTTGAACAATTGGAAAAAGAGATAGTAATGGAATATCAGTTTCAAATGAAAATAAAATCCCACTGACCAAGATTTCATGGAAGACATGACATAATATGTGGCATACACTCTCTATATTCCACCAAAAAGTCAATTTCTCTATTTTTGCATGTTAATTCTCCTATTTATATTGGACTCTTTCCTTACTTTATTCTCGTGCCACCCTTTCATCTCTTCGCTCCTAATAAGGAAATTTCCTCTTCTTCTTTTCTATCTATTATTAACTTCCTTTTCGTTCAAGTCTGAGTAAGTTTTCTTTTTTCGTGTGTCAAAAGGTCTCAAGTTTAATAGTATCATTATTTATGTCTTCCTTCGCCCATTCGTTTCAAACTTTCCATACGTCTCAACCTTATTTGACAAATTTGCGTTATTTTTGTGACTCTCTTTTGCATGGTTTTATTAATCTTTAAATGGTTTTTGCAGAAGAAACTATCAATGGCTGCCATTGAGTACTCTACCAATGAGATTGCAATAAAGGTTAGCACAGTGAGCTAAAGTAGTATTATAATGAAACAAGTAAGAGTTGCTTCGAGAAAACGATTTTATTCGCTGCCAAGATCAGCAGGAAAACAATACTATTACGAAGTTATTGAAGTAATATCTATTCATGAAAATGGTGTCTTGCTCATTAGTTTTCTTTTATTAATATTCTTAATTTACTGTCAATCTTTTTGAACCGTATATTATTACTTTACTCCACATATCTAAACATTTGGGTGGAACTTCTATTTGTTTTGATGAAGTCATTATATATTATTTTTCTTTGTTGATCTTATTCTACTATTGATAATGACAGGTTAATGAAGAAATCATTAGCCCTAGACAAGTGGAAACTGTGAATGAAAATGAGAATACAGATGGAAAAAAGATCAAGACGAGAAATTATCTAATCAAGAAGAAGTCAGGAGGATGGAGATTTGCCAGTCTCTTGCTTGGTATTTCTCTCATAATCACTTGTATTTCACATGAATTATTCTATTGTTTGTTCGTTTTCTTTTGTATTTCTAGGAACTTGAGAAATGATTCTTCTTTATTTTTGGTGCAGTGAATCAAGGCCTAGCAACATTAGCTTTCTTTGGAGTAGGTGTGAACTTGGTGTTGTTCTTAACCAGGGTTCTAGACCAAGAAAATGCTGATGCTGCCAATAATGTTAGCAAGTGGACTGGAACTGTTTATCTCTGCTCTCTGCTCGGAGCATTCCTTAGTGATTCATACTGGGGTCGTTACTTGACATGTGCTGTCTTTCAGCTGATACTCGTGCTGGTAATATATATACATATTTATATATATTATCCTCGTGCTGGTAATATATATACACATATACATATATACAGAATCACCTTCCTTGTTCTTGATCTATGCATTTAATTTAGTAACTAGCAGGATTGGCTGCGAAATGTTGTTACAGGGTTTGGGCTTACTATCACTTGCTTCTTGGCTTTTCTTGATAAATCCTGCGGGTTGTGGTGATGGAATAAAACTCTGCAAGCCTTCATCATCAATTGGTGTCGGTATTTTCTACTTGTCAATATATCTTATAGCCTTTGGATACGGTGGGCATCAACCAACCATAGCCACTTTTGGAGCAGATCAGTTTGATGATTCACATCCGAATGCAGCAGACTCAAAAGCTACATTCTTTTGTTACTTCTACTTTGCACTTAACGTCGGGTCTCTATTTTCAAACACTATACTGGTTTACTATGAAGATTCAGGAAAATGGACGCTAGGCTTCTTGGTTTCCTTAGGTTCTGCAATAATAGCCCTATTATTGTATTTGTTGGGGACATCAAGATATAGGTATATAAAACCATGTGGCAATCCACTGCCACGCGTTGGTCAAGTATTCCTTGCTGCATATAGGAAGTGGGATGTTGTGCCAGCCACTGCTGATGCCTTGTATGAGGTGGAGGGAACAGAATCTGCAATCAAAGGGAGCAGAAAAATTCTCCACAGTGATGATTTCAAGTAAGTTCATATATGCCATACATAAGTATTAATTAATGTCTCAAAAGAAGCTCAACAGTGATGATTTCAAGCATATGCTACAGTAATAAAGTATGGTAGATCAATGGTGGACGGTGCTCCATAGTTAGTAATGTCATAGAATGAACTTGTTATTGATTTGCTGATGTTACTTTATTAAGGTTCTTAATTAAGTTACTTGAAATTGACCTCCCCTGCAGGTTCCTGGACAAGGCGGCTACAATAACACAGAATGATTTGTGTGGACCAAAGGATCCATGGAGGCTTTGCACTGTTACTCAAGTTGAAGAAGCCAAATGTGTCCTAAAAATGTTACCCATTTGGCTCTGTACTATAATTTACTCTGTCATCTTCACGCAAATGGCATCCCTTTTTGTGGAGCAAGGAGACGTAATGGCTTCCAAACTTGGAGACTTCCACCTTCCAGCTGCCAGCATGTCTGCTTTCGATATTTGCAGCGTTCTCATTTGCACGGGAATCTATCGTCAAATCCTGGTGCCCTTGGCTGGAAGATTAAGCGGTAACCCCAAGGGATTGACTGAGCTTCAAAGAATGGGCATTGGACTCATTATTGGAATGATTGCAATGTTTGCAGCCGGTGTCACTGAGATACAAAGACTCAAATTCGTCACCCCCGGTGAGAAGAAAAGTTCTTTAAGCATATTTTGGCAAATACCACAATATGTTTTTGTTGGTGCATCTGAAGTTTTCATGTACGTTGGTCAATTGGAGTTCTTCAATGGACAAGCTCCGGATGGTATTAAAAGCTTTGGAAGCTCCCTTTGCATGGCTTCCATTTCTCTTGGCAACTATGTTAGCAGTTTATTAGTTAACATGGTTATGGGGATTACAGCAAGAGGTGACAGTCCTGGTTGGATCCCAGCTGACCTGAACGCAGGCCATATGGACAGGTTCTACTTCCTCATCGCAGGTCTAACTGCTCTTGATTTTATAATATATGTGTTTTGTGCCAAATGGTACAAGTGCATCAACCTTGATATCAGCGAGAAGGAAATTCAATTGGAAGAACAACAAAAACAGATGCTTGGAAAAGTTTAATTTGTGTATCACTTTTTAAAACTTAAGATACATCGAATTATCGACTTTTGGAAAGAATCCATTTCCAAACGGGAGGCATGACCTTTACCTTACCTGCATGCTTGCCTCCTTGGTATGGTAGGACTTTCGTTTTCAATGTGATGTTTAGGTTGGTAGAGTCCCTTAGCTAGTTGGTGGACTTGGTTATGTTTGTTGAAGCTTTTAGGGTTTTTTAGAAACTGATCATGGTTATTGCTGTTTTAATTACTATTAATTACTATCATTCTGTTTTGGTTTAACTTGTTTTCTTCTTATTTGTTTCCTTCCCCTGTGATTAATTTATGATAATGACAATGGCTTTGATTATGCCCACTCTTGCCAACAGCCAAGTAGCCTGTTGATTTGGACTCTTAATTCCCATAATCAGTTCAAATTTTGGCAATTTCCTGTACCTTTAAAAAAAAAAAAGATTATGTTTGCTCTCTAATTTACTAAAAAATAAAAGGGACCAAAAGCTTTATCAAAAGAAAATATTGGAAGTTTATTACAATCAGAAGTTCATCCATGACTTAAGGTGCATAAACGTTGTCATCTGTTTTGGTCAATCCCTCTCAGGTTAAAAGCAAGCAACTCTCTTAAAATGGAAAAAAAAAAAGGGAAATAGGATAATTGGTCTTGACAAATCTTGAGAAATCTCTGGAAGTTATTAAATATCGAAATTCTAACCACTTTGATGGCACTTTGCTTGTTGAAAATAATTGGACACCAATCAAAATGTGTTTGAACTCTGTGAATTATAGCTTTTGACATGAATGAGTTTCGTGTCCTTGATTTAAAGCAATAAATTGAAGCAACTCTATTATATGCTGATGTTTAACATCAAGTAGAAAACAAGTGAAATAATGACTACAAACTCTATGAGTGGGGACTGCAAGTGGACTCCAAAAACTTGGTCCTTATGTGAGATGAAACATTGCGTATACGCCATCAAGAAAATGATATTTATGGGTCAATTCAGTACCTGTGACCTGTCCCCTTGTATGAAAAGTTAGTATGGGACCATTTCTTTCAAACCCTATACATAATATATACAATATTGTTTTCATGATTGCACCATAAATGAGAACTAAATTATTAAGCATGCGTAGCTGTCTTTATAATTGCCAAATTCGTGGAGCCAAGGAGGCCTCGAGTATTTTCTCCACTATATAAAATTATGGGCTGAAAGCATTTTGAGATAGCAGGTAAAAAACCGGTGGAACTTGGGAAAGGAATTCGATTGTATGTAGTCTAGTGTTTTCACATCATGCTGTATGCGTGGATCCTCAAATAGCAATAGAGCAATACTTCAATTTTATATCCAAATATTTTTAGTTACTATTATAATACATATATAGAGATGTTGAATTCAAAACTTACAAAATATTGTTCATTTTCACAATTTTATTTTACAAAAAATGTCTCACAAATATGGATTTATATTTTTACACATACACATATAGATATGTATATATATATGTGTGTGTGTGTGTGTATATATATATATATATCATATTGAATTCTCATAATACTTTGATGTGAGATTAGACTATTACAAATAGTCATCTTAATGGAGTTAAATCTATATATATATATATATATATATATTTATCATAAGGGATTTTTATAATATTCTAACATTGGGTCTTACAAATAATCATCTTAGTGGAGTTAAATCTCCACATACACATGCGTATATACATTCTAGTTTTTGCCTACGTGCATGATGTATGTTTAATTTTTATTTCTAAAAATTCATTTCAATAAATAATTTTTCTATATTATGATAATAATGATAAATACTAATAATTGAATTTTGATTTTAGTATAATATAAGTAAAATTTGATAACGTTTGATATAATATTAATTTTAACAATTTTCTATAAAATTTTGGTAACCTTTGACATAATTTTGGTAATTATAATATAATTTTGGTAATTTTTAATAAAATTGTAACAACCTCCTGATGTAATTTTAGTAATCGTTTAGTAATTATTGATAAAATTTGGGTTATCATATATTTAATAATAGATTTTTATAAGAAAGCACGAGTTCAATTTTAGTTTAAGATAATTTTTTTTTAATATAATAACGTTATTATTTCATTCAAATTTAAAACCTTTTTTACTAATTTTTTTTTATTGAATAGCTTTATGTTAGGTTTATCATAGTCTTCCAAAATAAAGTTTTTACTTTCGTTTCTGGTAGTAACTAAAGTTTAATTCTTGACAACTTCAAGTATAAAAAATTTATTAATGATTGACAATTAAGTTATCATTAATTTATAGTTATATCATCAATGATTTACTACTAAATTATCAATGATATACTGTTAAATTACCAATGATTTTCTACTTAATTAACATTAATTTACTACTAATTTATGAATGATTTACTATTAAGTTATAATTGATCTACTACTAAGTTATTAACGATTTGTTCTAAAGTTATAATTGTTTTACTATTAATTTATCGATAATTTACTACAAAGTTATCAATAATTAACTAATTTACTATTAAATTATCACTGATTTAAGTAATTTACTATTAAGTTATCTATAATTTATATCCAAATTATTAAAGATTTACTATTATGTTATCATTGATATACTATTTACTTTTCGATTATTTATTTAAAAATCATCATAGATTTATTATTAAATTAACCATGAGTCATTATCAAGTTATTACTAATTTATATTAAATTATCTATGATTTATCATTAAGTTATCATTGATTAACTATTAAATTATTGATGATTAACTACTATTAAGTTATATTGATATACTTTTAAGTTTTTAGTGATTAACTACTAAATTATTATTGATTCATTACTAAGTTATTTTTTATGTATTGCTATCAACTAATTACTATTAAACTGAAATTGATTTACTTCTAAATTACTATTAATTTGCTATTAAGCTATTATTAATTTCTTATTAAGTTATCAATTATTAACTATTAAGTTACCACTTATTTTTTATTAACCTATAATTTATTTATTAATATGTTATTATACATTTACAATTATGAAACATGAAATTTAAATTTCCACTAATGATATATGAGATAATTTTTTATATAATCGCGGGTCATGCCAAGCACAACTTATATACTTGTGCTGCGCTGGATTAGAGATTTTGGATCTATTAGGCTAGAACAACACGACTCATCAAGGGCTAATCCTAATACATGGCATATGGGTTGGCACAACATGGCACATAAACACTAATATGTTATGTTGTGTCGGCCCATAAATGTTACAGAGGAGTTTAGTCTATTGATCCTTAGTTGTACTTTATGTTATTTGTATCATATGATGATGGTTTTTTTACCCTTTTGATACTTTATGTTAGCAATTTATAAAAATTAAATTGTATCAATAAATCTACTTATAAAATATTTAAACTATTAGCATTTAAAATTACTTTCTTTTTTCATTTTGACTTATAATTTTTTAAAAAAAACTATGAAATGTATTTACTTAAACATTGATTATGAAAAAACCAAGAACAAGACCAAATACATAATATAAATGGATCATCAAAATAAGAAATAAAATAATAATGTATATCCATTTTTTTAATTTAAAGATGTAATATTAGTATTTGGTAATTTTCACGTATTATTTTGGTAGATTCTTTTAATTTTTACTAGTAAACATAGATATTTTATTGAACCATATAAATTATATGTTCCATGTATTAATTTCATATATTAGTTTTTGAAGATAGTTGAAAAATAAAGAAAAATTGTTCTAAAAAATGATAAAAATTTAAAAAACTATTAATGGGTTGTACTTGGTTCAATACTGTATGAAGAATAGTGCCATGCTAAGCACTAACCCATAATGGCTATTGGCCATATGCCATGACGAGTCATACTCTTAGTTTTCACGGGCCGTGCCGGCATGACACGTTAAATAATAGTGATGGACCGGCACAACCCATTAACATAGGAGCTAATTTTTTTAATTGACCTCTACTATTATGTTACAATTGATTTACTACTTAATTTTTAATTTTTTATTGCAAAATTATCTCTGATTTATCACTAAATTATTTATGATTTACTACTAAGTTATTATTGATTTATATTAAATTATACATGATTTACGATTCAGTGAACACTGATTAACTATTATACTATTGATGATTTACTATTAAATTATACTGATTTATTTTTAAGTTTTCAATAATTGATGACTAAATTATCAATTATTTATTACTAATTTATAATTGATTTACTACTAAATTATTTATGATTTACTACTATCAATTAATTATTATTAAATTGAAACTGATTTACTATTAAGTTATTACTAATTTATTGTTAAGTTATTACTAATTTATTGTTAAGTTATTATTAATTTATTATGAAGTTATCAATAATTAACTACTAAATTATCACTTTTTTTAAAGTTATCCTTGATTTAGAACCATGTTGTTGTGCATTTATAATTATATTATAATTTATTTACCATTAAAGTATTATGAATGTATTATTGTATCATTATTAATTTACTAAAATTTATCAATTATTGACTATTAAATTGGCATTTATTTACTATTAAGTTATCATTAATTTACTATTAAATTATCGATGATTACTACTAAGTTATACTAATTATATTTAAGTTTTCAATGATTAATTATTAAGTTCTTAATTATCTACTATTATATTATCATTGATTTGTATATATCCAAAATGAAAATAAACCGCAATATATGCTAAATGATATAATTTGTAAGATAGAGAAAGAAGAAAAAGTTCAAGTGCAAATGACTTGAAAACAATGAGCAAATGCTCTTAATTTATTATCAGTAGTTTAACACATAATAATAAGTTAAAATCATAACTTCTTACACTAATGCAAGTATAAAAACTAAATTAAATAAATATATACAATAAACACTAAGTCAACATTTTTATGATACTTTTAAATTTTTTTAGTTCATAATAAAATAGTACATATTAATATAAATTTTGTTGATAATTTGATTGAATTATTTGTATATATATTTTCATAGCTATTACTGATTGCATATAAAATATTGAATATTTTGAAGTTCTATGTCACCAATAGAAGTAATAAACTGTCTTATATTTCTATATTTAAGTGTATAATTTTGTATAAAAATTTTGTTATATATATGATAAAATAATGAAAACAAATTTACTAAATAAAATTTATAAAAATTAAATAGACAACAACTAAAAAATATTAAATTCACAATAATTACCTTCACATTTTTCATAAAAACTTCTTCTACTAAACAAAAAGATAGTATATTTTTATTTGTTTCTTCATTCTTATTATCATCAT